CAAGCTCGGGAGCAATGACCTAACCTAACCTAACCTAACCTGGACCTAATCTTTCCCAACGAACTCACCAAGTACTCAAGCAAGGACCACAATTGCTAATTAACTGGCTATAACCAACCCCCATGTTTTGCTATTTAGTGGACAGCACCCTCAGCCAAAGACCTTCCACTCTCCCATAGGATAGGTGAGGCTGTATTAGGAGGTCCAAGTCAATTATCTTAAGTGTTGCACAGAATTTTCCTGATTCAGCTGGTGAAATAGTCCCGTTTTCTCTGTTTTGCTTACTTCTTGAAATATGAATGCACAGGAGACAGTGATTACACCAGAAGCTACCCTAATGATGCTGAGAATGGAACTCACAGAAAAGATGTTGGAGAAAGAAGAGAGGCTGGAGTTTAGGTCTCTGGGATCATAGTTCCACCACAGATCCCAAAACTGCCCACTACAGAACTTCCTTTTCCAAAAGACAGAAATACATTTCCATGCTGTTTCATTCCTTAATATGTTTGCATGTTTGCTAAGTGCCACGAGATACAATTAAACTTTATGAATGTATTTAGCGGGGTAATAAATGCTGACCAAAATATTCCAAGCTCCAAAAAGTTCTATTTATACCCAATAGAAAACTTCACCTTATCTCATGCCTAAAGAGATCCATACTTCATTTCCAGGATACATATGTAAATGTGAAAGGCATGGGGAAGCTAACTGCTCAAAGTACCTACCGCTGATTGGATCACACTGCAGGAAAGGTGAGATGGGCAAGGGAGTGCAGAAAAAAATAGAAAAGCCGAGGAAGAATAAAAATTGCTACAGTTAGCTGATGCTAAGCTGTATGCTGTGCACGTACAATACAATGAACCAAGAAATTCTACCTATTATTTACACAGTGACAGATAAAAGAAAATGAGGTGGAGCTCGATAAACAAGCTCTCTTCTAAAGTAGATTTAGACACTATTCATCCCCTTCCTTTCAGCCCAGAAGCCTGCTTAGCTGCAACCGTGAAATAAATTCCAGTCCTCAGAACATTTCGAGGAGGAATAATGTTCAAAACGGACGCAGGCTCTCTTTTCCTTCTCTTTGAAATTGATTAGGTGTACCTTTCAGATGAAAAACCGCTTGGTTTCTCAAAGAAGGAAGATTATTTTTAGACAAACACAAAATAGCTAATTTAAGTTGTCCAAATAGAGAGAGTACTTAAGATTTTTGACTCAATATTGTAGCTGAGAACCATTATAAATACCTTGTATGGTGGACCCATAAACCAGGCCTTATCAAATTCCACCAAGAGACAATTGATAGTTTAGTATTAACTCAACGTTTTCTGTTAAGTCAAACTGATTACAAAACCGTAGTGAAATGTGTTTCTTAAACTACCTTCAAGAAACAATAAATGGACTAAGACGGTGGAAATAAAATCCCTGATGAGTGCTCAGGAAGCAATAGACATTAGACTCAGCACTGGAAAGAAATGTTACATAAGCAGTAATTTAATTTAAGTTTCCAATTTAAGGAATGCCTGGTCACATGCAACTCTCTGAAATGAAGCATTTCAACAACTCACCATGAGTCTGCTTTAGAAGGTAATCTGAAAATCTATAAGAGTGACAAAAAAAATTTACTCTGCAACAGCACTTGCTCTAACTGCTAAAACACAGAGACGGGCAAATGAGAATGATTCAGCTCGGTGAGCCACACTGCCGCACACATGGGAGAACTGTCACACCACGCCATTCAAAGGGCTTCGAATCGAGGGGCCACATCTTCCTGTTGAAGACTGTCCATAGCTTAAGCATCTCTAAAACACAATTCAGACTGTTTTATACTGAATGGTTTTACATTCTCTAAGAATACTATTAATTTAAATATTTCTGCCATTGGCTCCTTTCTTATTAAGTCTCTGGTTAAGGAAATGCTTGCAAGGATAAACCGGGTGTTTCATATATGTTTTCTTTGAATTTAAAAATGATAATTATTTACTAGCTATTTTTGTGGGTATACGTGCATGCACAATATGCCACAGAGTCATACAGCGGTGTGAGGATGACTTGTAGGAGTTGGTTCTCTTCTACTCTGAGAAACTGACCTCAGGCTATCGGGTTCTTTACCTGTTAAGCCATCTCCTGGCCACCTCCTCCAATATATAAAGTTTAAATAATGATTTGAACAGTCCAGTTCTCATAATAACTAGCTCAATAACTTTGTTTAAATCCAGTGTAGAGAGAAATGACAACATGATGGAACTAAATTCCAGTGCAGTCTTAAAGACAGTAAGGAGACCTTGTTAGAAATTCTGATAGGGTAAGATATCAGGGGGCCATTCACAATGCATGAACTTTAGATTTCCTCAGCTATAAAGACAGGTAATACATAATTTAAATAGATGTTATAACATACTTTCCTTCCATTGTTCCTGATGATGGATATTAGTGTTCAATTCAAACTTTTGGTAGTATTGTATTTATAACCTAAGAAAAGATATGATGATTAAAGGTAAACCCAAATTATATAGGTCTTAAGGAAATGCATTTAAATTTTTTTATACATATAAGATGATACACAAATGTCTTTCTACGGTTTACTTGGGAGACTGTACAACAGGTTCAAAATATCCTGGAAAGAGTCGATATTCCAATATAATTCAGAAAAAAACAACTTCATATTGCAGCAATAGATGTGAATCACCTTTTTAATAATTTCTAATTCCCCTCTCAACTGATAAATATTTATTTACAATTCCTTTCTTAAAATGCTGAATGCCTCTAGAACTTCCAGAAAGAATAAAATGTATTTGTAGACTCTATGTTACACATATCATCATCACACAAACACATTTTGGTGTGCACTCAGGAAAGCACTGAACACATCTATTTATGAAAGCATCATAGAGCTGCCACAGAACATCTCTTCATATGATGTGGTCACTACTGCAACCTCACAATGTAGCCCATACCTGACATATTCTGAGAACCCAAACTCAAAAACATGTACCAAATTAATGCCTAGATAAATTTAGCTTTAAAAAGTGATTATTTATTATGCACCAGAAGCACATATTTTCATAAGAATTTTTCTTAGACATACAAAAGTAAGTTTAAGTGTCTTCTTTCAATAAAGAAAATCTCACACCATTATATTATCACGTATATTATTTGTTTAGAAGGCAACATGTTAACGCAGTAAGCGTTTTAAATTTGGGTTGGTTTATATACTAGGAAGAATTTCTTTCCCATAAGCATATGATGAATGCTGATGCTGTACTACTAGTAATCCTCTTAACAGTGAAAAGAACTAATTTCTACTTTGAACCATGAGCAGTCATACAACGCACACTGAAATCTCAATTAGGAAGAAATAATGCTGTACTGTAAAATGGGCTATAAAAGGGCTAAATGATAACTATATAATCCTAGCGAGGGAACAGCAAGTCGCTTTTGCACTGGATAAAGAAAAATCAAATCTGCACTAGTCTGAGCTGTCTTAAAGTCAGTATTATCACGTTCCTAAAAAATATGTGTATGATGTATGAAAATAGAAATAAATGTATGATGAAACCAAGCAAACCTGCCCACATACCAACAAGCAGCTCTTAAGCTTTGTGGGTTTAATTATAAATAAAAACATCAATTAATGATTTTTAATATATGGAAATATAGCAATGGTTGGACTCAACCCTGACATCTGATCTAAGCTATCAGCCACCACCAAGCTTCCCTTCTAATTGGTCCGAATATTTACTATTCTGTCAGGAACTCTTCCCCATCACCTGTTAAAAACCAGAGAGCAGCTGGGCTATTTTACATAATAAGGGACGTGGGTTTTCAAGGCAGCGAAGGAGCAGAATCAGAAGCTCTTGACAGCTGTAAACCAACGCAAAGGCTCCGCCCTTATACTACAGAAGAAAAGTCAGCTGTTGTCTCAACAGCTGGTAAGTAGTTGATGGAAATACGTATTAAAAGCACTGTAGATTTTATGTTTAAGATATCCACAGTCAGGAGGCAAAAGACCGTAACATCAAAATATGTGATAAACATGGGAAAGAAACACAAAAGCAGCTCATGAGTGATGTGCAGATGACAACAAACTGTGGATGGACCAACATGCAGATACTGTGAGCTCCCATAACCTGAAATCTGTTTTCAAAAATTGAGATATGTTCTAGAAGGTGTTTCATTACCTTATCAGAAAGCAAGGAAGCAGATTATCATTTGAGCTACTTCCTCACTCGCCCATCTAGTTGCCACTTAACGCTATCACTGTTTCAGGATGTGTTCAAAATAAAGTATGATAATTATGAGCAGGAAGGCATTGTGACAAACTGTAAGATGGTGGCACTTGTTCCTCTAGCAGGAAGCATTCGTGGATGACATTTTTTTTCCAGGCACTTGATTGATTTAGCTGATCCAACATAATGTTAACCATGTGCCACACAATGAACAAAGAAACAATTCGAGAAGCGTGGGCACGGCCCTCGGTAACTTCATGCAGTGCCTAACCTAACGGCAACACTGCTGATGGTGCACAAGTCCAGCGCAAAGAAATAAACTCACTGTGCTGGAGATAGTGCCAGGGGGAGACATGGAGGACAAGAGGCAGACTACAAAGCTTAGTAAACTGAGGTACCAGCCAGTCCAGACTTAAAGGATGACTAGCATTCATCTAGAAAAAAACCATTTAAAAGAGCATTTCAGGGAAAGAACATCACATGCAAACACAAAGAACATGATAGATGAGAAAGGGAGCAGACAGAGAGACAGCAAGGATTCACTGAGTGGCACTCAAGGTTCAGCAGAGGCTAAAACCCTTACATGTGTAATAGCACTGATCCACACGTCTATCAGATTTTTCTTCTGCTGTCCTTGACAGTCTGTCAAAGGAAGCCAAAGGAAAGAGCAAAACTGAACGTGCATCAGATAGATGAAGCACTGGGAAGGAAGAGAGAGAAAAACACAATGCCCAAGACGGCACATCGTCATTGGGCATTGCATAACCCACTCACCAGTTTTCAGGGTAGCTCTTCAAATCGGCATCTGCAGAAGAGTAAGGAAAAGGAAAAGATTATGTGGTAAATGCCTTATTTAGCAAACTCTTCACTTATCTCTAAACAGTTAGTTCACAAGGAACAAAACAGTGGGCTTAAAACACACTCGGCAAACACGAGTGGGAGAAGCAAGAGAGGCACAGAACGAGGCACAGGAATCGGAACAGCCCCATCATCATAGCACATGAGAATGCACTGGCAAAGACTATCTTTGAGCCAATCACTGTTGGCTATTGTTCAGATCCCATCCTCGGTCTGCCAGAATGCAGTAGTCCACCGAGAAAGAAACTCTGTTTTAATGGGAGCTGACTCTATCTGTATGTCTCCAGTTACACAACTCAGGGGGTAGCCACATTGATAAAGCAAGAACTGGTTGTATTTTATAGACTCATTCTTTCGTTGCACAACAACCTTATTAAATGCTAGTTTAATTTTTTAAATACCAGGTATTCAAACTCACACAAGAGAGCATAAAATCCATATACCTGTTGTTTTGTAGTAATGTAGACCTTGTTTTTTTAAAAAAAAAAAAAAGAAAGAAAAAAACTGCATGTTGCCCATGATTTTGTTCAAATAACATTTACTTAGGTTCTATCAAATGAGTATTTATATAAATAAAACATTTTTGGCAGCAAAATATGTGCAGAGAGTAGATGACCTTATATACAAACTTAATCCCCACTACTTTACTGTTTGATCAATAGAAAACAATCCCTCCCCTTTAATCATATTTACTACTACATAAATCACTGTTTACTGGAGTCAGCTATTAAACTTTCACAGATAAAGGTCTCCAACTGAACTCCATAACCTACAAACTTTCATTCTATAAAATATGACAGGCTGGGAAAGTTGAGGAGATCTAATAGTCATGAGTGAGCCTTGTCTTTGCATTCTGTCAATTAATGGTATGTTTAAAATGCAATACAAATATAGCTTACTATAGAGAAAAAAGTTAATAAATTCAAGGGCAGTAATTCACTAAGATATTCCAGTAGTAAAGTTAGGCTGAATAAAATCAGTCCAAATAATGTGGTTAGTTTTATTAGGTTGCAAATGAAAACAATATCCTTTAACTGATTTTATATTGACAATGTTAAAATCAACCTTGGGTTTTACCCAAATGATCAGATGCAGTAGCCTTTTAATATTACTTGTCAAAGTTTCCACAGACACAAATGTTTATGAAGAGGACCAAAATTGGATATTAAATAGTTTGCCTTCAAAATAAAATCAGGCTTTAATGACCTGTCAAGTTCAGAAATAAATATTTCTAACACTTACACTCATCTTTCATTGCAAACACAAGCCACTTATCTTCATAGATAGTGTCAGAACTATGTTCTCTCAGGCAACGACTTCTCTCAGGAGAAATAAACCAATAGATGATCTCCACATGCATTAGTTAGCACTGCCTATGAGAGGAACGATTACTCTGTGGACAGACTTTAAAAGTCTCTAACTGATGTCATTATTCTTCAGTTCAGCAGAAGAATGAGATAAAATGTCTATTCACATATGATCTGGATATGTTCTTGGTTTTGGCCTGTATAAATTTTAACCCTTGAAGAAGCCTATAGAAAGCTTGTTCACATTAGGTCCAGACTAGGTTTGTGATTGAGGTACCGTAGCAACAGATCAATTAGTTTCCTTATCACTTGATGCTTTTCTTTATTCCCTGTTTTGGTTGAAAGTCAAACTCTTATGCCGATATACAGTAGGCACACAGGTGTCTTACCAATTCACCTACTGAAACTTTGCTCATGTATAGATACCTACATTTAGTATCACCTCTTTTGGTGACTATTCAGTGGATCCCCATGTTGTTGAAACTGTGTCCCCTCAGTATTCCTATTGCTATTTGCAAACTTTTTAGACCACTTATCCCCTTTTCAACCAAACTTAAAAACAGAATCCTTAAACCATGGAATGTACATGACTAGTATGTCTGTGGACACTGCCTTGCACAGATAAACTCTTCAATAAATCAATCATCAATAGTTTCTCAATTTCTATCAAAAAATTAATATATATTTTAATATTAAACCAAATATTATCATTCACAAATGTATTAATGAGGCATTAAGATCATAATAGTCTGTGAAAATGAAATTCTCACTATATTCTGTTTACCCTACAAATGACAGCACATTCCTAAGCAGTTCAGAGAAAACTGTTCACCAACAGCCTTCAGGCAATAATAACTTGTGTACTGGGAATTTCTGTGTTATTGTCTGCATTGTTAGTCTAATATCCATGAAAATTTATGCAACTGTTTCACTGGAAAAATCCTTAGTGATACAACCAAACCTTGTTTTTAGGGGGTGCTTCAGACAGTAATCTTAAGAACGAACTTACATAAAGATCAATAGTCACTGTTTAAGATAACATGTGTGCCCTTTGTTTCAAGTATAAATCAATAGATAAGAAAAATGGAATTATTCTAATAATTGTGGAAACTCCCAAACAGCTTACAGGCTTCCTTAGGGCAATTAAGACTCTTGTGCTTAAAAAACATTGGAGCAAAACTTAATCGGCCTGAATGATATTTGTTCACCTCATTTAACACATACTTACTGAACACCAACTACGTGCTTAGTCCTCCGTGGGCAATAGATATACAACAGTGCCACATAATAGATACAATCATCTTCTTACTGAGCTTACAATGGGCAAAAGGAGTCAAACATTAAACAGATAATCAAGCAAATAAAATGATGACTAAGTGCTGCCCGGGAAGCAGGGTGGAGTGAGAGATGGCACCCTGGGTAAAGGCAGGAGGTTGTGTAGGTTCTGATTAGTATGAATCACAAGTGAGGAAACAAAAGGAGGCCTCAAGTAGAGTTCGCCCTAAAGAAGTAAGGTGAGAACAGACGGAAAATGCAGAGGCAGCGCTTGGGGCATTTAGAATCGTGTTCAAAGGATGATAGAGTGAAAGCAACTGCATGACCAGTCAACTGCACAAAATAAACTGTGCCAAATACCAAATCAATGTAGGAACTTCAAAGATATGCTATGCAACATATAGCAAATTTTTAACCAAACAGTACACCAGCAAGCAGAGCAAAACTGTAAGAATGCATGGACTATCGAGTTATATTTTTGCACTCCTGAGAAGTCTACACAAATACTCTAAAGAAGAGAGTGATTTTACTAAAGCAGAAGATTGAGCTTTAAAAGGAATGCATGGAAGAATTCCCCACCAATTTGAAGTTCTTATTATCAGCTTTTAAATAACTTACAAATTCAATAAGACCTAAATATGCAAAGCAACTTAAAAGCATGTTCTTTCCAACATCAGACATAAAAATTTAAAAAGCAATTCTGAGTCAATTATAAATTAATCTACATAAGCAGGGAACTGATGAAAGTAGTTCAATATATTGATGCCTAATTTAAGAACCTATATGCTCTTTAATTTCCTAACAGAGTTTTTTAAAAAGCCTTTGCTTATCACTCAAGACTTCTGGACACTCTACTGAACCTATTCTTGTTTAAAACTTCAGCCCTACAGAGTCACAGCAGAGCACCGGGCTGAACTTCCAAACTGCAGTCGAAGAGTGGGAGGAGTGAGAATATGAGCAAAGAGGTCAAGACCATGATGGGGACACACACTAAAACAGTTTGCCTGAGCTAACAGGAGCTCACCGACAGGGAAGTCGGACAGGGAAGGAACCAGCATAGAACCAAAGTAGGCCCTCAGAGTGTGGGTGACAGCTGTATGGCTGGAGCAGAATGCCAGACCCCTGGCAGTGGGACCAGGGTTTTTATCCCTACTGATTCTACTGGATTTTTGGAACCCATTCTCTTTGGAGAGATACCTTGCTCAGCCTAGATATAGTAGAGAGAGCTTTGGTCCTGTGTTACTCTCTCTGAGGAGTGGATAGGGTGGTAGTGAAGGAAATGGGAGGAGAAGGAGTGAGAACTGGGATTGGTATGTAAAATGAAAAAGGTGGGTTTTGTTTTGTTTTGTTTTAAATAAAATAAAAAGAAAAAAATCAGCCCTAGGTGCTCATCACAACTGACACAATCCTCTCTTTTTATTTTCATTAATTCTTTTTTAATTTGGCAATTTTACACAGTGTATCGTGATCATATTCAGTCCCAACTCTTCCCAGATCCACTCCCAACTCCGCAGACCCTCTCATTACTTGCCCTCTTTTTATTCCTATAAAACAAGGCACCTAGTCAGAGCTGTGCTCCCTCAGTCCTCACAGGGGTGGGGCCAATCACTGGAACATGGTCAGCACACCAGAAGCCATGCCCAACTTCTCCCAGAAGCAGTCCTCTTTAGGGAACCTCAGTGCTGCACAAGAAAGGCAGGGCAGATCCAAAAGATTTTCTCTTCAGCTAGTCTAACCAAATTGTTGAGCTTCTGGTTCTAAATAATGTATTTATCAGTGATAAAAGAAGATACCGTTTTATTGGTCTCTGAGTCATACAGATGCACATGTACACATGTACACACGTGGATATATCACACATACCCAAACAGAAAAAAGAATGAATGGACATATGGCTGTCAAATAATAAAAAGGGTTGCATGGAGGAAGAGACAGAAATATATATATTTAGGTATAAATATATATCAAATACTTATATTTGTATAAAATAGACATTATCTACAAATATAAGTATATAACATCTATATACAAATCTTATTTACATATATGTTAAATTTTATTTAAACATTAATAGAGCAAGAAAAAAAGCAACAATAAACATCTGCCCTTCTGTTTTAGATATGTTCCATTCCAGGAAACTTTGCACTGACTAGGAGGTGGCCTTCTCTATCAGACTTGTGCAGGGTTGCAGGTGTAACTCTCTGGCACAGTGCCTGTCGGCTATGAATGGAGCTTTTGGTTTCCGTCCCGAGCATCACCAAATAAAGAATAAGCAAACACAAATGTGAAAGAAAATCTTGCAAGCTCAGCTGGGAAAACATGCCTTTTATGCTTTAATTTACATACACGACTCTCCTAAATTCCT